ATGGGGGCGACGCCCGCGCGCCAGATTGCACGCCGCCGCGGGGCACTCAGATGCCAGAGCCTGCGCCGCCCTGGAGCTGCCAGGGAAGTCCTCCTCTCCCTTCACGGCATTGAGCAACTGTGGGCAAGTGGTTGGCCACTCTGCTGGTGTGGTAACTCCTGGGTCCAAGCATTAAAACGCGCTTGCGCGCCGCCCTCGGCAACTGCTCCTGCGACATGCTGCCTGCGTCATGGCCCCCCCCCTTCTTGTATTGCACAGGCGATTGCCCTTGCTCGGGCGCTTGCCCTGACCCAGGACCTTGCCCATGCCTTTATCATCCTTCTAGCAATTGGCGGTTGATCAGGGTGTCCCTGGGCGGCGGTGGCGTGCCAGCGGGTCCAAGTTGACCAGCGGACGTCAAATATCTCTTTGCGAAAAGGCACGGTTGCCAGCGGCTCCAGTTGGCCAGCGGACACTAACCGACCCCTTGGCGAGGTGGCACAGGTGCCAGCGGGCCCCAGTTGGCCAGAGAACACAACTTAGCTCTTCGCGCAGCGGCACAGTTGCCAGCGGGCCCCAGTTGGCCAAGGGGCGCTAATTTGCCCATCGCGGCGTGGCACAGGCGCCAGCGGGCCCCAGCTGGCCAGCGGACGCTAGCTGGCCCTCTGCGGCGCGACGCAATTGGGCGCCAGAAGGCATGCCGCGCGATAGCGAGCTGCGTCGAGCTTACCGTCGGCAGCCATTATGTCTGCGCTGCGCGCAGTGGAGCGCCAGCAACGTCAAATGTTGGACCGTGGCGCGCCAGCCGCCCTTGCGCAAACCCGCCCGATCCGTCGGCCGCTCGCGTCGCCGCCGCCCCCCCCGTCTGCGTCGACAATTGCTCCACCAACTCCTACATCTGCGCAAACGCCCCGCCTCCGCCGCCACCCCCCGTTCGGGCGCGCGCGGAAGGCCCGCGCGCAGCCAATTCAGAACGCGCCGTTCGCGCCGCGCTGGAACTGCCAATGTCGGCGCGCGCGCCGGGCGCCACTAGCCCCCCCGCATCGGCGCCTAGTAGACCCGACCGCAACCAACCAGGCGCGCGCGCAAGCCGCTGCGATGGACGATAGCGCGGGGCGCGCGTTACCGCGGCGCCGAGGCACGCGCCCGCGCTTAAGTGCGCGCAGCGACGGCTTTGGACCACGCGCCCATCTAGACCGACCCCCCGACGCGCGACGCGCGAATCTGAGCGACGGGGCGCGGCCCGCCGAGATTGCCGCTTTGGGCCGAGGCGGGGCGGCGAGAGTCCACCCCCATCACCTTCCCCCTCCCCCCCCCCCCCCCCCCCCCTATCTTCCCCCCCCCCCCCCCCCCCCCCCCCCCCCCCCCCCCCCCCCCCCCCCCCACCGCCCCCCGCACTGGGGCCCCCCCCCCCCCCCCCCCCCCCCCCCCCCCCCCCCCCCCCCCCCCCCCTCCCCCCTCCCCTCCCCCCACCCCCACCCCACCCCCCCCCCCCCCCGCAACATGGCCCCCCCCCGCCCCTCCTGGCCCCCCGCGCCCCCCCCCCCGCTTCCCCGCCCCACCACCCCGCATGGAAAACCAGCGCCGCGCGCGCACAACTGCCTGCCGCGCTTCTCCGCCCGCCATGAGCCCGCCGCCGCCGCCCGCGCGCCCCGCGAGCGCGCTGCTGCACGCGCAACAACGCGCGCAAACGCGCGAACGCACCGCCCGCGCCAACGGCCATACCTACGCCGTGTCAAGCAACACTGCCATTTCTTCGGGCTGCGACACCGCCAACACTACCACCGCCAACAACAACGCCGCGAGCACCTCCACCACCACCGCTACAAACGCCAACCCACCGTTCGCGCGCAAGCGGCCACCCTTGCTCGATGCGTAGCACCCAGGGAACTAGATCAGAAATCAGCGTCTTCCGCCGAGGGCGAACATCTGAATTGAAGGCCGACGCCGAAGTCTTAAAGCCCGCCGTCGCAAACGCAAATGCACCGCGCCAGGTGCGGAAACCAGCTTCGATTTGTCGTTGGCGTGGTTGGTGAACGGTGGGCGGTCAGGTCCTCGCAGCTGCGCGCGCAGCGCAAATGCGCGGTTGGCGACGTGCACGTGCCGAAGCGAATCGCAGCCGAGTTGCGGGACGCCGCGCGTTCGCGCGCACAGCGGCGCGCGCCAGCCATATCATGACCATTCCGATGGATGACAGAACCAGGCGGGCCGCACCTTGTCCACCAACGCCATGGTCCGTGTGAGCCCCCAGCGCACAGGTCAAGCGCGCGCGCGTCGGGTGGCTCGAAACGCGACGCCGTGGCAGTTGAACCAGGCAGGCGTGCGATGATCTTACTGCGCGTGCACAAACCCGCCTTAAGTTTGATGCCGCGCGCGCGCCAATGGTGATGCGCAGCTTGGCAGGCCGTGCGTAATGGACCCTCCGCGGCTTCATCGCTCGCGGTGTGTGTGTGTGCGCGCGTGTGTGCGTGTGTGTGCGTGTGTGCGCGTGTGTGTGTGTGTGCGTGTGTGCGTGTGTGCGTGTGCGCGTGTGTGCGTGTGTGCGTGTGTGCGTGTGTGCGTGTGTGCGTGTGTGCGTGTGTGCGTGTGTACGTGTGAGCGTGTGTGCGTGTGTGCGTGTGTGCGTGTGTGCGTGTGTGCGTGTGTACGTGTGAGCGTGCGTGCGTGTGTGTGCGTGTGTGCGTGTGTACGTGCGTGCGCGTGTGCGTGTGTGCGCGTTCGCAGGCGGCGTGCGTGGCCCAACCGTCGCTGATTTATTGGGTAGTGCACCTGCGCGGCAGCGCGCATACGTAGCATGCTGCCGCTGTTTCGTGCAATGCGCGGCCCAAGAACACGCGCACAAACCGCAACTTGCTTTGCAGCTGCAGCCGCGAGAGAACACATCCTCCTCTTGCTCAGCCACTTGGTCTGTCTCGCTTTCGTCCTGTTGGTGTTCCTCCTCCTCCTCCTTCTCCTCCTCCTCCTCCTCATCCTCCGTCTCCTCCTCCTCCTCCTCCTCCTCCTGCTCCCTACTCCTCCTTCTCCCCTTCCTCCTCCTCCCTCCTCCTCCTCCTCCTGTTCCCCCCCCCTGCCGCGCTTGGCTCAAGGCGCCTTCTAATGCATGGCAGGGGGTCTTGGCGGACCGAATCGCCAGATTCAAGATTATGTTCAAAGAAGGCCGGCATTTCTATACCATTTTCTTTCACGGGCACTGCGCGGGCTCGGGCCCTTCGCCAGCTCGCTGGCGCCTCTCCTGCTCAAACAGCGGGCGGCCCCCAGGAGTCTCTCGCAGGACATCCCTCGCATCACATCTGCACTTGAAACTTTTGTCCCAGCCAGCTTTGTGCGAAGCTCTGCCCTCGCCGCCGTGACAGCTCAGCAAAAAAAGACATCAAAAGACCGAGCGGGCGGCCCTGAGCGGGCAACCGAATCTGATTTTCATTGGCGTAGTTGACTCTCGTAACCACGCACTTGCCAGGACATCGAGCGCAGACTGCGTAAAACTCATGCGTGATGTATCCGTTGGGCGGCATGTGCAGAGAATGCGGCAACTGAGCAGCGGCTGCCGCGGCAGCGGCAGCTGCTGCAGCACTCTCATCATCTCCACACCCAGAAATGAGATCGTCGACGTCGCCACCGCCTGGAGGACGGTCGCCTCCAGCGCCATCATCTCCAGAAGAATATTTCCCATCGGACTCGCCACCGTTGGACTCGGACTCATCATCGACGGGGGCGGCCTCCGCATCGCTACCCTTGTTGCCGTTCTCATCGCCAGTGGCGCTGCCAATATAATCATCAAGACCCATGTTCCATCGAAGCTTCGCCTCGCGACTCGGACGTGCCAAGGGATCCCAAACTAGATGCATCTGCCCATCACCCTCCTCAAACGGATGCGCGATGCAGAGCTTGGGGGCCATGCTGCCCACTACTCTGTCGGACTGAGACAAGCGAAACCAAGCCATCTCCCATCGCAGATTCTTGTCGAGGCAGCCGAGCCCCCGCCAAAAAGTTGAAGCTCCGAAAGCAGACGTGAGAACGTGTTCCCCTGCAAGACACTCACGTAAGGATGATGGCTCTGCCGACGAAACGTGATGCCATAAGAGATAGATCGGGGATAAAGATGCATAACCAACATGCCTCCATACAAACTGCAGCCCGCCAACCTCGCAGCCGGCAGCGGCAGCATCGCCGGGGACAGGGGCGCCAACGAAAAGGACGGCGAAGGAGCCAAGCTGAAGAGCTTGTCTGTCACAAGCTCCACGCAGGGACGCACTCACGGCCTTGCGAATGTTGTCGCCCATGACTTCTCTGTGGTTCTCTGCCCCGCGCTTGCACATGCAGATCCCAGCCGTGAAGCACATGGAGGGGCGGGTCACCTTCAGAGGTGGCCTCTGCCATTTCCTGCACACCCATCACCCTATGAACCTGAACCTCCGTCCTCCACACTTCCTCCATTCATCCTGCCTCCTCCACCTCCTCTCCCTCCTGACGTCATCTCCTGTGCTAATTGTATGGGGGAAATTGGTGAATAGGATTTGTCCGTCCACCTGTTTCGGCATTTCGGGCGCGGGACAAGTCTCCACTTGTCTATGCAGTTGGGCCCATTGAGCCCGCAAACGCTCACGCACAGCTTGTGAAGCAGCAGCAGTGCGAGGAGCTCTGAGAAGACGCACCCCGACTGCTAGCGCATCGGTTGGCTCGAACCTCATGCGCCTCAGGGGGCACTCACCAACCGCATCATGGCATGTAGGTCGGGGTCGCAAGCAATCTCGGAACTGTCGACAGGCTGGCACAGCGTCAAGAAATTCACGTACGAGAACACCCCCATGGTCTGGGCCATCCTCATATTGCATCAGCGTCTGGCGGCGCTTCTCGACCAGGGCAGTCGAGACGCGACCGTCTGCCATGAAACGAGCTTTCAATGTCATGACGCGTTCCCAGCGGTTCTTCCCAGGGACAAGTGGCTCAATTGCAGACGTTGAAAGATGCGTCCCTTGTGAAGGGCTATCCAGCAAAGCTTGTTGGACGAGCCTGTGGGCGACCTCATTCTCGCGCCGCTGCCTCTTAGCTACACGAGCGGCCACCCGAGTAGAACCCTGTGTAGCTGCACTGCCCAAGCGGTGCTGCTCCGTGGCGGACCGACCCCGCTCGAGCAACTGGCTTCGCTCCTCGGGGGTCAGATTGTCGTACATATCCGACATGATGCTCATGTCTCTCACTTCAGGATGGCTTGCCACGAACATTCGCCATGCGCCGCCACCACCGCGCCTCTTCTTGCCAGAAGCCTGAGCGGGCCCGCCAGTCGCATCCAGCCCAGGTCCGTCTACGTCACCGCCGTCATCGGCAGCCGCAGACGCAGGGAACAAGATACTCTCCACGCGGGCAGCGTGCTTTCGATAAAGCCGAAGGACCTCGAGCGCAGAAACATCGTCCACTGACGGCGGTGTGGTCTGGTTGCTGCGACCGAGAAGCACGCGGCGAATTGCAGAATGCTTGGCTTCCAAGGCGCTCGTGTCAAAAGAAGCTGACAGCACAGCCACACGCAAGTCCATCAAAGCTGAATCACACGCCAAACCATGCTCCTTCCACGTCCCGATGAACGCTTCCGGCCAAGGGCACCACAAATGAACATCGTGCTCAATCTCCATGATGAGGGAATCGTCATCTGGAGTGACGAGCAACCTGAATAGCTTAAAAGGGCACCCTTTGTGGAGGTCGCGCAGCTCCTCAGTCAGGCACATGGCCATGGCCAACGCTTGGAACCCCTTGGTTCTCAAACCCTGCGTCCGTGAATGCAAAGGCACTGCGCCCCGCAACTCTGCCGTCGACATGCGGCGTGCGACATCTGTCGCAACATGGTCGTCCAGCTCGCACGTCGCGGCAACGAGGCCGCGATATGTATATGCGCAGCCACTCGTGCCCTGCAGCAATGCAATTGCTGCTTTCTCGTCCTCGCAATCTCGAAGCGATTCCCCGCCAAGGAATAGGAGCGATGTCATCAAATACCTCTGCGGCTCGAGCACGTGCGGCAGAGCGACCATGTCTCCCAGGCAGCCATGCCCAGCCCCGTCGCTGCCGCACATGCCCAGCACCAAGGATCGAGAGCGAGATTGTTGAGCCTGCAACTCTTCCCATGGCGTCTTGGCAGGGCGGCGCGCCGATGCTGCGTCAGCACCGACCTCGCCAGGGACTGGGGCCGCAGGGCCGCCATCTGGCTCGTCCTCGATGGCAGCAGCGCGCTGCTCCCATGATGCATTTGCTGGAACGTGGCGGGGCACTCGTGCAAGCTTCGAACCGACCTTGGCACAAAAACGGCTGAATACTCTAGTGAATAATCTATTGCACCCCTCGAACACCCCAATCCAATTCACAGCGTGCTCCTGTCTTGTCCACCTGTGAACTGAAAATGGTTCCGGCGCTGCGCCACGCAGCGCCTGCGCACCATAGACCAAGAACTTCGCATGGCAATTCTCGCGACCACTGCAACACCCAGCGCACCAGTGAACGATTGTCTGGCCTTCCAGGTCACCAGTGAACAGCGCCTCTACAATGGTGCGCCGCAGTCGGACGAGCTTGTCTGGCGAATGCCAGAACACATCCAATAACGACTGCACATCGTTGCGGTAATTCGGGGGCGGCGCACCATACCGATACTCAATGGATTCCGCGAGGACGTGGCGGAGTTCCCGTCTCATGATAACCATGGCGGACCCCATTCCGATGGACAATGATACATGAATCATGAAAGATATGCGTGGTGCGAACAGTTTCATTGTTTTTTCTTCGCATGCCAGGCGCCTTGTGGCCCTCGCACTTCAAACGTATTGTTTTGATTTTGGCAACATCATCTTTGACATGTATCCCTGATTCACAGCGGTCAATGGCCCCGTCGTCGTCGGTTGTAACACAACGCCCCCTTCTGATGTGGTTTATTTATATATATATATATATATATACACCAAAAAAAAACAAAAAAAAAAACGGACAACCCTTTCAATGGGAGCCTGCCAGACTGGACGCAGCGATAATCCACCACCGTGCCCCATGGGCACAGAATAGGCTATCACCAAACCCAAGAAGGTATCCCAAATGGCCCAACATTGGCCCCCAGGCGACCCAAGACGAACCACGATGGCCACGAGGGCCCCAAGATAAACCGAGAGGGCCCCAAGATGGACCAAGACAGGCAAAGACAGATACGCGACGGACCAATGGGGCCCCAAGAAGCCCCACCCCAGGTGGCCCGAGAGAACATTGACATGCAGTAGAGCAGCCTCAACACGGACAAAATGGCGCCAAAATGGCTCCTCCCCCATTCTCCTCCTCTTCCTCCTCCTCCTCCTCCTCCACATGATCCCCTTCCTCCTTCCCCCATCTCTTCCTCCTCCCCCTCCTCCTCTTCCTCCCCCCCCTCCTCCTCCCCCTCGTCCTTCTCCTCCGCCTGGGGCCCTGAAGACCCCGCAAAGACTGCCCAAGACGCACTCAAGAGGCGCCCAAGACGGCACAAGAAGGTCCCAACACGTTCCGCATGACGCCCGAGGTGGCCCCGAGGTGCTTCAGGGAAGGCCCGCCACCGAGAACGCGAATTGAAAACCTTAGTTTTCCGCCCTGGGAAATCCCTCGGGCACGGCGGGCGGGGAAAGGGGCGTAGGCGTAGGCAGGGGCAGGGGAAGATGAAGATAGAGGAGGAGGGAGAGGAGGGGGGGGGACGATGAGGAAGAGGGGCAGGAGGAGGAGGGGATGAGGAGGAGATGAGAGAGGAGGAACGCGGACCCAACACCACAGGATGGTTGGGACCTAACACCACAGGATGGTTGGGAAACACAGCCAAGGCACGCCGACGGGATTTGCCGAAGGCCACTATATAGCACTCGCCCATTTTTGTTGACATGGTTTGCAACCACTGGGGGAATGTGAAATCGAGACACCAGTATTCACCCCCAACGCATATCAAAATCACCAAACCGTGCAACGTGTGGCAAAGCTTCGTCACGGCAGCATCCTCGAATGTGTCTGCTGGGCCTAGGAGTTGGGGGAGTTTCACATTGCGGGCGCCTTCCCCCAAAAGCAAGGTTGAATCAGCTCGGGCCGTGAAACGCAATGGCGTTTCATCATAGCGACGCAGTTCGGCTATGGAAATCAGGGGCCCATCTTCACGATTAGCGATACTATGAACAAGGTTGGATATAAAGGACAGCGCCGACATCCGATCTGATAACACACGCGCCATGGCAAGTTGTGTCCTCATTGTGCGAAGCTTGTCCTCTCGAGTGTCTGACAGTGCTGATTCCGCCTTCGAGGTTGAGGTGAGTTTACCGCTCACTAAGAAATGATACACCACCCTGTCATTATCATCATCGACACGCGCACGATCCACACTCCGCTCCAGGCATTCTGCAATCCTTCGGGCCCCATCCCAAAAGGCAGGGTTATACAATGATTGTGAGCCAGCAGTTTCATCAGCAAGCTGTGGTAGCAAGTTCGGGTTGTCAGACACAGGGAAACTGGGCGGTACCAGCGCCAACGTCGTCTCGGCCACTGCCCCCTGATAATAGCTGTCGGGGTCAGGGCCGTCGGACTCACGA